CTTCAGGTGCTTTCCTGAAATCAAAGGACCAATGTGTTAAACCTGGGTGCGTCTCACACCGCCCTGCTCTAGATACGAAGTCCGTGCGTCCGAATTCCCACTTGCTAGCCAGACTCTTAACGCACTGAGTCTGAAGTCCCTCCACCCCCCCCCCCGGAGCAGCGAGGCCTGTGCGCCTGGAAGACCTGTGCAGCAAACTTCTTGCCATAATTCTTGGCGAGCCTGGTGAGCAAAAGGCTAAGGCTCTTCGCCTCGTGTATCCAACCGTGAGATCGTCTTTAAAAGATGGCCTGGGCACCTTCAAGGATTGTCATACGGCCATGCGGGCTTGATACTCTGGGTCGAAGCAGGTGACTTCCCCCCGCCTGTGAGTGAGGACACCCTCAGATGGCCAGGGATCCTTCTCACCTCAGAGGGCTGGTGGGCCGATCAAACTTCCGGAAAAAAGTTCCTGCAAAGAGGGATTTCCGAGCCAGAAGCCTGCTCTGCAACACATCAAGCACGCCTAAGAACCCCTGACACCATTAGTTGAAGGAGAGCCTCTTGAGAGTCTCAGCCAATCTATCGGGCCCCTTTCGTTGCCCCATTTCGTACAAGCATTTTTTTAGATAAAGTCTTGAAACAGACACGTATTTCATTCTTCAAAATTTGGGGATGGGCAGTAGAAGCAATTCAGGGCAAACCGGGACCCTACGCATTTTTGAAGACTGTTGTAATTACTCCGAACCCAGCAACTGAACCTCCGAGCCCCAAATGTGCTTCACACCTCTAAAGCGTAAAAACAAATTCCCGATAAACCCCACCTGACCCCCACGATTACTTACAAATGAGAAGGCCAAAAAGCTAGAACCCACACGCCTTCAATCCCAAACCCACATAAACACCGGAGTTGACTTTCCAGCCGCAGGCGCCGAAGAGCAGTGGGGGGAGGCAGGCACCCTGGCCCTCTGGTGCTGTAGTGGACCTGAAGTACATAGCAGGAGGCAGCAACAGGGTGACAGTTCTAACTCAAACCTCGAGTTGTCTAGGAAACCCCTCGGGGCCCAAGGTATTGGGCTTCGAAGTTAGGATCTCAGAGAAGGTTTGAAGTTCTGTGAGGACTTATACGGCAGGTGGACTGCAGACAAAGAATGGAGGAATGAGGGGACATTGCGCGGGGATGGTGGGATTTGTGGGATTCTGTACCGGTACTATTTCCGGGAGAGTATGCTTGAGCGCATCTGCGGATTCGCTGATGGGTTTCACGCTTTTGCACCTGGGGGCCCTACTTGGGGACACAACTCTTGAAGGGTAAGCAGTTTCCAAAGCCAGCGGAGTCATGCATCTTTTGTATGGGAGCTCAGGTCCCAACACATAGCGCCCATCAAAGCCAGAGAAGAACCAGTCTTCCAAGCAAAGCCAGCCTACATCAGGGATTGCTGGCACTTAGTCTATTGGCTACTGGCAGGGAAAGAATGGAAGGGAACATGCAAACTACGATAATACTGGGGATTGTAGAGGCCATGATAGTGATGAACCCCCCTTGGCCGCAGAAGTAGTACGTATTCATGTAATGAACTACCGCTACATAGTATGTGCAATTTTTGATTAGGGAGGTGAAGAGTTTTATTATGGGGGACTCAGGGAATTGCCAATCCCTATGATCCAGGACCCTATATATTATAAGGACCGGGCAGAGGAGTGTGAGTAGTGCGCCCAATCGTAACAATAGCAACCACGAATCTACCAGGCAGCTTGGCAAAGCAATACTCATGGCAGAAACAAAAACACGAAAGACACTGAAGCGTGGCAGCGTCGTGCCAATATCCGTCGGAACACCATACTGGCTAGCAAAATTTGCCAACTCCGGTAGGACACGGCCCACCTGAAGGGCAAACGCTACCTACTGACACATATGCAAATCACAAGCAGCATGTCTGTTGTCAAAACAACCGCGACTGCAAAAAAACAAAGCAGGATTTCAAACCCGATGTCGCAACACAGCGCATCCACGCCAACGAGAGACAAACCTAGCCACACTTGACCCAAGTCCGTCCTCCAAGGTTGGTTCCGAAAGGGGCGCTCTCGACCTCTTCGAGACTCAGACTCCTCAGTGAGAGCGACAATGTAAGTGAGCTGTTGTTTTCGTTGGTGGGAAGCTCTGCAACCGAGAAAGCCGCATTAGATTTGAAGCCAGATGCATTGCTGGGCATCCTTGTCAGACAAGCTGCCGCGAGGAGTTCCCAGCATTACCACTGCGAATCTGCATCATCACGGCCTGCCCCCACTGGAGTTCTAAGAGCCCATGTACAGACAAGTGCAGGACTCGCTGAGACCACCTCACACCACAGAGCATTGTGACGCACTTGGAATGGTTTTTTTTGGGGCAAAGCAAAGCAACCCTGTACTCACCATCGCCGTCTGCTCTCCTTCGGGTGCCCATTATGATCGGCTGTTCAAAATGAGAATTTGCCAGCGGAATAGAATCATAGAGCGGCTATAGACGCAAGGGTCGACTGCCTCTTCACCGGCTGTGCAATGGTCTCCTGTGCAAAGCTGTACATCTCATCAAATCTCAGTCTTGGGTGTCATCAGATACAGTGGCAGGAACTGTTGGGATTCGGAACCAATGCATTAGAACATGGGTTATATAGGAATAATGGAAAAGAAAATGGAAACTACTATAGTGTATTGGGGTTATATAGGGATAACGGAGAAGAAAATGGAAACTACTATAGTATGTTGGGGTTAAGTGGGGATAATGGAAAAGAAAATGGAAACTACTATATAGCATATTGGGGTTATATAGGGATAACGGAGAAGAAAATGGAAACTACTATAGTATGCTGGGGTTAAATGGGGATAATGGAAAAGAAAATGAAAACTACTATATAGTATATTGAGGTGCTATACTGATAATGGAAAAGAAAAAGGAAACTGCTTTCCCATTAAAATCTATTATAATAGTTTCCATTTCCTTTCAAATTCCTACCCTAAACCCCATATAACCCATTATAGTCTTTCATATAGGGATAATGGAAAAGAATTCTTCCTATATAACCCCAATACACTATAGGAGTTTCCATTTTATTTTCCATTCACCCTAAACCCCATATAACCCATTACAGTCTATTATATAGGAATAATGGAAAAGAACACACTGAGTCTCTTTCTTCGAGCATGGAGCCTGTGCAAGCCGCAGCCACGCAGTTCAGCAGACCCCTGGGATGGGCAAACAAAAAGTTTAGGGTTCAGGGGTTTAGGGTTTAGGGGTTTGGTCTTACAACCCTTCGGACGTTTACGTCTGCCATGGGTTTAGGGCTCATTTTTTGCAAGCCTTCGGACTTTTACGTCTGCCGCAGCGGCACGGGGTCCTTCTTAGGGTTTAGGGTTTAGGGTACTTCGTCCAGCTATGACAGACTCTGCCAACACCAACATGCAGTAAGACGACCCCTTGACCCTGTAGTAGCGTCCATTTTCTTTTCCATTATCCTCCTGGAATCCTGACAAAACTGAAAAGTTCCCAAGATTAGGGGTACCTTCTTGGGGGTCCCTATAATAAGTAAGGATTATAGCATTTTAGGGTCTACATTGGGGTCCCCCTACTTAAGTAAACTACCAACGCACAATCAGCGCAGGCACGCTGAGTAGGTCCATATCCTCCAAAACCGAGTCATGCCAGGCCTCAGCCACAGCATGCCAGGATTCCCAAGTAGTAGATGTGTACAGATTCAGGATAAGGGAAGACAAAATGAAGCTACTACATTATGATGAAGTCTATATTGCGGTTATATAGGGAATAATGGAAAAGAAAATGGAAGCTATTACACTATAGTAGGGCACATATATTGGGATTCTAGTAGGGAATATATGGGAATGTAGTACATAAGCCATCGTCATTTCAACTCCTAGCATCGCCCTTAGTAACCGCTATAGTAGTCCCCTTTGTAATCCTCTCGGCAACCCCGCTTTACGGAGTTTAGAGTACAGCTCGTCGAAAGGAATGTGCATAGAGATCTATACCGTCCTCATAATGACTGGATCCCTCAACCGCCTCAACCTCAGCACCCGCAACAGGGGACCATGATTGTGGCATCTTGGAGTTGCCACATCAAATCAATTTATACCCGTCTATACCCCCAAAACATGAAACGGGATCGCCTAATGGGAATCCTGCCGCTAACTTTGAGAAATATCCGCTGAAGACATGGAGCAAGAGGTGCGCTTCTGGCTTGCACGAATATGGCCCGTAAGCTCGAGCCAAAAAGATGTCGGCATCGCACGGTGCAAAGCTAACATCATCATGTCTTCAAGACATTTTAGAGCACGTCGTCATGTCGCTTGTTCGAGTGAGCAACTGTCAAGACTCCTTCTTCACCCTTGCATCTTCACATGCCATTCAGATTAAATGCTCCAGGGTAAATGTGCCCAAATCATAACCTCTAGGGAATGTGGCAACCACCCCTCTTTGACACCTGCCTATATCCATCTTCTGCTTTTGCTCCCTAGCCGTCTAAGCAGGGCCGAGAAATCAATTTCGACTTCAGGGTCTGGAGCAATGACCTGAATGTGTTTCTCACTTGCATTCCTGTGATAGTGCCCATAACAACTTAACTCAGCTTACTATTATTATTATTACTATTATTACTATTATTACTATTTTTATTATTACTATTATTACTATTGTTATTTGTATTATTACTATTATTATTAGTACTATTAACTATATTAATGCGTTGCTCTTTGTACTGTTCTCGTTCACCTCCAAGCCCAAACCTACATGCCAACACAAGGCCAAGCACAAGGCTCATGGTTCTTCCTGAGGCAAAAGGGCGCTGGTGACCCGACTGAAGCAGCAGCTTTCTGCCGCCAACTGTACAAGGCAGCTTCCATAAACGGAGCGGGACCCCAACATAGACCCAAAAAAGTAGCCCTTGATGTTTGTTTTCAGAACCGCCACAAAGCCTGCAGCAGGTACCTTACCCTCGACCAGCGGGGCTCTGATTCGAAGGCCCAAGTGCTCAGTCCTCCCGTAAAGCTGCACGGTGGTAGTTTTGCCCAATGAGCAGGTGAAGCCACTCTCCACCTACCAAACAACAAAGTTGCAGGCGTGCAGCCCAATAAAGACGACGGACCATGTCCAACCACGTCTGCCTATCAAGAAAAAGAAGCCTGTCCAACATATCTGCCAGTAGCTGTACCAGGGATACTCAGCCAGCAATATTGCAATCATTCCCACAAACGGCAGACATGCCTGCACTTGCCCCATGACTTCTCTCCTGCCGATAAATCGCTGCCCTTGAGGATAGAGACCTCTGTCGTCTACTTGGTTATCATCTCCTTTAGTGAGCAATGCAAGGGTTCCGTTGTGACTTTCGTGCACTTCCAGGAGCCTGTGAACAATCCGAAAGTCCCTCCCGTCAACTTGGAACACGATGTCCTGACCAGCCTTGAATGGTTCGTCAAAAAAAGCCAGGAAAAGGATGTCACCTCTTTGGAAACCAGGCCCATCACCACTCTGAACAACTAAAACCGGCACTGAGTTGTTGGTGAACACCATGAGACCCCTGTGCAGCATCAGCGCGAAGAGCACCACGCAGCCTAAGTTCAACATCTGTGCCAGGAGCATTCGAGGCCTCTTCACCAGCCCCCAAAGCTCATTCACATAGTGACGGCAAGACCCCATTGCTGGGAGGCATAGGAGGTAACACACAATGAAAGCCTCCATGCGCCAAGGCGATTTAAGAGGCTTGAGATCCGCAATGCGCAGGCTTGAGCAAAATGTGACCCTGAATTCAAACCTGGCACCATTTAAACTGCAAACTGCAAAGCTTGATTCTAGGATAGGTTGCAATACTGCGGCTCACCAAGAACAACAAAGCCCAGGCCACGATGATTGGAAATCCCATGCATCACAGCCCCAATATGTTTCTCCTCTACAGCATGGGTTCTTAACAATGCTAAGCGCTTCAGGATGCTGCGAATGTATTGCAAAAAGCCAGCCACGTCCTCATTCCCACAACATTCATCCCTTGCGTTGCTCTTTTCTCCACTTCCGTCTTCCCGGAGTTCTAGAGATGACGGGTACACGATCTCCTCGAGAAAGAGACCGCTCGGTGGAGCCAGCTGTGTCCTAGCTCCACGGAAGATTAGATGTTCTGTGCAAAGAGTCATTTAGACAGGCCTAGAACTGAGCTTGTAGAAAAAGTTGCCCTGCCTTCCCTTGACCTTCTGCAAGGCATTGGCAAAGGTCGGCGAAGAGGCCTGGGTGTAGAAACAAAGTGGCTTATGCCTTCAGATCTTTCAGTCTGTTGGGGCTGCATTGGGGCGCCTAATTTGACAGGCTCCCGCATTTCTGATTTTGGGTTCTAGGTTTGCAGTTCCGTGAGAGTAGCTCCTGGAAACGCGGTTTTCTTTGCAAAGGCACATAATCTGAATGGAAGCCAAGGAAGGCTGCTTGGATGTGGGTCTGGTAAACTGCAGGAAATGGCTGCCGAACGAGCAAGAGCTGATCACAAAGATCCCAAGAACGCAGCGGCAGTTTTCTCGGGCCCCTGGGAAGCATTTAGCTGAAGGCATTTAGTTTCCTCACAAGAAGCACCACTAGCCAAATACACACGTTTTAAGGTTTCTTTTCTTCCTAGTCCCTCTAATCTTATGACCCGCCTGCACACATGGGCCAAGCTTCATCGTCCAGGTCTGTCGAATCAATCACGCCGCGACCGCAGGCGACCAGTGAGGAGACGATTACGCGTGCCATCCTACGGTGGATGGATGACATCTTGCACCTCCTAGGATCCCAAAATCCTGCAATTAGCAAGGCATGATTTCCTCCATCAACAATAAGGCCATGACCAGACCTTTCTAAGGGCGTGTAGGATTTGGAGTTTAGGGTGGTTTTGGTTTGGTTTTCGGGGTTTAGGGCCCAGATTTTAAAGATTAAGCTCAGAGCCACCCTCCCGTGTTCAAAAAACGTGGTGCGTCACCTGTCTGTCTATTCAGTCAGGGCAAAGAATTTACAAAGGCGGTGGTGCAGACTGGAAGCTCGAGAGCTCGTTCCGCCATTGAGCCATGTAGACCATAAATGCAAATGAGTTCATCCCTTCCGTATGGCCTCCGAGTCCGATCGAAAGAGTTTCTAGCAGGCATAGGGTTCGTCCTTCCCTTTGATCTGCAGACTGGTCACCTGTACAGGAAAGCCTGGCACTCGAGGCGAACACTCCTCAGCTGTCTCGGGTCACACTTGGGGGGAAATCCCATGACCTGCATGGCTGTCACTAGCTGCCACCCCTCTCCGGATCCAAAAAACACGAAACACAGTCCAGCTTGGGTTCAACTTCTCCGCTGCTGCATCCCAGCGCGTGTCGACCAAGAGCCTGAGAAACTGATGGTGCTACCTTGGGCAGAACTATCTGGAGCAAGACCTTTGTTGCCAAGCCAGCCACTGCTTGGTCAAAGGTCCATAGTAGCCTTCGTCGAACACATCCTGCTGGCAATCAGAAAAGCCGTGAAACGATCGAATACATGGCCATCGTCCGACACTCTGAAGTGCGATGCATGTAATGTTAAGTAACTCTGCTTGTCCACTTGATCGTCTTTGCACTACGGCGAGTATACAACAACCAGAAGCAAGCGACATGTAGAGGGAGATCATGAAAACGTGAACTGAAGAAACAAAATGAACACAAAAAGCTGCTGCAAGCCCCTTCACGAATCGTTTGGCATAACACTTCCCTGGTAAATGCAGAGTCTGCCCGGCCGTCCCGGCTTTGCACGAAGCACGCCAATTGACCGTAAGTAGGCTGCAATCCAGGGCCTTCCAGAAGGAACTGAGCAGAAACTGCTCTAATGATCAAGCAAGGTAAGATCATCTCTGGCCGCAAGAGGCAGCAATCAAACAGAAACATACCTGTGATCTCCTTCCATGCAACAGGCTGCAGGTTTGCAAAATTGGCCTGAAGAGGGCAGACATGAGCATCATCTTGACTCGAATATGTGCATGGCCACTACGCTGGACACAAGAACTGTTGTTGAATTGTGGCCAGAGCGGGTAAGTCCATGCTTTCCGATAGCAGGCTTCTCCGAATGGTGTATCCATAGCAGACGTGAAAATACATAAGGATTCTGAGGGGAGGATGGTCTCCGAATGAAGGATTTAAAGGCTGAAATTTGGCATCAGTCCTTGGCGCAATGAATGATGGGAATTTCTGAAATCTACAGCACCGGCCCTCAATTCCCGGAAATGCATACGCCATGCTCAACTCAGCAAAGGCGCAGGAAAAACAATTGCCTGTGAGGGCTTGTAGCCCAGGGGTCCTAAAACACAGCCACCGTTGATCCATGTACAAACACCAATTCAGCAACGCAATGCGCCTGCTGCTATTTGCCCCTGTCACCCTACACGTGGGTTCTAGCACTGAGCCTCTACCAGAGTTTCCTTCAGCACGGGGCACAGGCAGTCTGATTCGAGCTGGGGTCGTTTTCAGAGCAGTCCTTTGCCCCCTGATCATTCCCATCTACCTAACCGGAAAATATTTCACGATCCCTGAGAGTACCTACCCCCAACTCCCATGGCACACCTGGCCGTTCAGCCGCTGTGCCCCCTCGGCCACTGAGTGTTTGTGCAGCGGGCCCACGGCCTCGTTTTGCAGCTTGGGGGTTTTGGGTGGTTTTGAGATTTAGGGGCTTTAAGGGGCTTGGCGGGCTTTAGGGGATTGGGCTTTAGCGATTGAAGGGTTAAGGGATATTTCGACGTATTTACGAGCTTTCAGGGGGGTTAGGATTTATGGGCTGTGGGGGTTTAGGAGGTCTAGGGATTTAGGGATTTTTGGCGGGTTGCGGGGGGTTCGCAATTTGATAGAGCTTATCCACTTCAGTGCTCATGGTCTTGAGATGAGCCGCCCAAACAAAGCGCGAGTCGAAGGGCGAAGCACGCGAACGTAGCAGGAGGTCATAGCGGTAGCGCCTGAGAAAGAAAATACCAATATGAGTATGATTTAAGCGTTGCGGACTATTGTTGACGTCTTTGGCCATCACAGCCATACATGCAGATTCTGCGGGAGTTGCATAGAAATAAGAACGGGGACGTCTCAAAGCTAGAGTTTACAATATCAATCCCACCGTTCGCAACTGATGATGAAGGGTGGCAAGTCTAGCAACCCCGCGTGGGCACTGTGATGCATATGTCTGGCCGGAATTTCTGCTCACCATGTCCTAGACCAAGCCCCAATAAGATGTCAGGGCACTTCCGCAGGGCGCATCTTCTTGCGTGAAAGCTGCTTTCCACCTCTGCTTCTGGAACATGTCTCGCTCATGTTGCAGGCTATGAATCCATGATCCAAAACGACTGGCAGGCTGCCAAGTGGCCATGTCAGCTTCCAGCAAGTGCCTTACCTGCTCTGCCCGCAAAAGACAGAAGACCAAGACTCCTGCTCGACTGGACATACTCAAAGAAAATTGAGGAAGATTAAGTATTGAACTCAATGCGACTCGTGAGGAACTTACCGTAAACATGGACAACCCGTGCACAAGCTCTGCATGACCAGTGGCAACTGAGCGACATATCCCCTGGCAGCCGGCAGTTCACCCGCCGCCTCCAACATACTTTCTTGGGGAATGATGCAGTGTGGGCACCCACAAGCCAGAAGGTCGCAGCAGTGACTCTTGAGTGACTGTTGACCCTTTGTTGGTTGGAAAGGGGCTCTGCGAGTCTGACAAGACTGCCTCTGGCACTGACGTGCAGCCCTACTGCAAGCTGCAGTCAGACTGGCATCTCAAACAAGTAGTGGACTTCATGAAACTTGCATTAGATCCCGGATCCACTACAACAAGAGAGGCCACAATACTACAGTAAGACAATACAAAACCAACATGGATAGCCCGAAATCTCATGACGACCGAAATCAAATGCGGCAATTGCCCTGGGTCGCAAAGAGCCTCAACGTGGCTGCGTCAAGGTCTGGAAGGCTCAGTAGATCCACGTGCGCCACCTGCGCCTCGCTCAGATTTCATTGACCCCATGCCCACAAGCCTCCACATGTATTTATTATTATGATGATTATTCTTACTATTACTATTACTAAAAATAAAATTCTTATCATTGATGTTGACTTTATTTCATAAATTGTTACTATCATCAATTGCTCTTTTTATCGCCCTCATGAGGATTCCTGCATCGAGCTCGTAACGGGTTTCCAGCTCAAGCTCTTAAGATGTCATCCTCTGCGATGAGTATTGCCTTTGTGCAAAAAGATATATCCAAAAAAGGGTGGTGGTTTAGTTTCATTTGCTGGTTTTCCAAGCCGCGGCTCCCAGCATTGTGGAGTTTCTTGCATCCATTAGGGGATGATCCAAACGAACTCCTGTCTGTACTCGCAGACACTTTAGGGATTGTTGTAGGTCCCTGGAGGTCCTTCTCATAAGCGTGATAGTATGATGAGAGGGGCTAGGGGACGTAAACTATACCCTATTATGGTAGGTCCTTCCTGTGGGGTCTACAGCGGACTGCCACTGTAAACTTTCGAGTCACCTAGCTCCGTGCTGCGACCGAAACCCTACTGCATGCCTCTTTAGCATCAACTCCGGTGTTTACTAGGGAGCCCACCGGCGCAAGATGCATGTTGATCACAATACAACTGTAGGAAATGGCCATCACATGCTACCAGTGAACTGCCTGCCTATCGACTTTTCCTCACTTCAACTCAGAATGAGAAGCATCCCCAGCCTCCCAATTCAATGGTATATAGACTCGCATTAGCATCCACTGCAGCCACCACAGAAGAATCTAAAAAGCGAAAGCCAAAATCCGCTGGCCTCGGCATGCACACCGCGGTCCGTTCTTGAGCAGCCCACCAGAGTTGGAGCCTGCCGCAACCGGCCTCAAAAAGCTCCTCTCCGAATTAGGAAGTAGTGGGAGTGATAGAGAGATTGTCCAAGAACTCATGCCAGAATCCAAGATTTCATAGGCAACGTTTTGCGGGCTCAGTTAAGTTGAGGGACGTGCCGTGTACGACTGCACATACTCAAACAGTAGTCATGAACTACCACCACTCTCTTCCCGATCATACCTCCATACACATCCAAAGTGAATGACCACACTAGAAATCTAAATTTCGATTCCAAGCTTCTGTGTGTGGGGTGCGAGGCCATCAAGGCAGCTGTCAGTGTGCGGTGAACAGTGCGTGCACCTGTCAGAGTTCACATGAATGTGTATGATTCAGGGTTCAAGGTTTAGGGTAGACATCCCCCTGATATACCCCGCAAACTACGTTTTGTCTACGTGGACCCTAAAGGGGACCACTGCTTGTTGAAAACCCTGATCCCTGTCACCAGTTTCAAGGGGCCCTTCTATCTGAAATCTGCGAATCAGAAGTGCTTCACGAGAAGTTCCATGTGGGCACCTTCATCTCCCAAGGCCTGCCAACCCCGGAATTCGGAGCCATCGTAAGCGACCTGCTCAGGTTCCCATAACTGCAAATATATAGGCTGTTTTCCTACTGCCCACAGACAAGCAAAGGAGCGCTACATGGACTGAGATGACACGCATCACCTTCAGTCGCCATCGCTGCAGCAGGCAAGGTTTTGGCAAGACCTTGCCAGCCCAGATACAAAGAGCAGACAGTTGTTGCAACTTGGGGGCTGCTCTCAAGCGGTGGCAACCGTTTGGGGGCTCCCTTGCCCCGTCTTATGGGGGTTGTGTGTGTAGGCCTCCTTTGTTTGGCATATGCCCTCGATTGCCTCCCAATGCTGACAGAAAGTACATCACTGAGCACGAGAAAGTAGGACGTTGACCTCCCTGAAGATTTCTACTGACTCAGAACATCTATGTCTACCTGAACCACCCGGAAACTCCAAGTAGCTCCTTGAAATTGGTGGCGTGACAGCAAGCCAAGAGATCCCTTAATTGATGGCGCTTGCCTGAAGTATCATGGAAGCTGAAGCCCCCGAAGCAAAATCCATCGAGAATCATGTTAACGATTCCGAAGACAGCTTGAGACATTTTCCCGCCATCTTTGATCCTTCTTGCAGCATAAGGGACCAGCACTGCAAAGCCAAGGGCAAGCCCTGTGCCTTAGCTTGCACTGCTTGAAGGCTGCTTTTTTGGCAGCTTAGGCCATGAGATCTGCCAAGTTTAGGGTGGTAAAATTGCTATTGTTATGCTTATTACTATTATTATTATTAGTAGTAGTAGTAGTAGTAGTGGTAGCAATAGGATGTATCTCATCACTATTATTGGTATTGTTATTACTACTGTGGCTAGTACTCTTATTGCTAAAAATAATGTTCTTAGTGTCAATACTATTGATATCTTTCTCATCGGTATTATTATGAGCGGGTCAGGGTTGAGTTTGTAGGTTCACATTCCTGCAAAGCGTTTGATTTAGGTCTCGACTCCTGGGTAACGAGCATACCATGCACTTACAAGCAAGAAGCCACTCAGAAGATCTGGAGATCATCACATCCTCGGCATTTTGTCTTCACACTAGCTGTTGGCCCAGGGGAGTTTAAAAGCTTGGCTATCGTGCCTCCGCCTTGCGACTTGATACAAACCATGAGGCGATGGACACAGCTACCAGAACAAGGGAATCTTCTGTGCAGCACAGAAGGGCTCCCTTCAGGGGAGGCCTTCAGTGGCGCACCGCACCGAGCAGAAGCTTCTCAAAGACAAGCGTGCGTCTTTTATCTTTCGGCCTCACATGAGTTCACTGGGCTCTGAGGGACCCCTTTCAGTACCATCTTGTAGATATGGTGGGGGACTCCAATATAGACCCTTAAGGTACCCCTAATTTTGGGAACCCCCCATATGAGTAAGCTTGCACATAGTGCGGGCTGCACCAAAATGCTGCGCTCGCCAGAAACAGCGAAATCCAAACAGGTCTTGCCAGCGGCCTTGGAGCCGATAATAAAAGTAATACTAATAATAATAATAATAGGGTTTAGGGTTAGGGAATAATAATAGCAATAGTAATAATAGCAATCATAATAACAATAGAAAAGCAATAATATTAATTGTAATAGTACTTCTTGTCATAATAGTAGTAGTAATAGTATTAACAACAAGAATAGCAATTATAGTAATAATAACAATCGTCCAAGCTAGACGCTGAACCCAAATCCTGACGGAAGCTTCAAGATCCTCCGGTCCTACGCTGGGTTGCTGAGAGGCTGAAGAGAATCCCCTAAACCGTAAACCCTAAAATGTGTGGGATTTTCAGCCCAGTCAGGTTGGGTATTTATCAGAAATATTGCAAACCTGGGGTCGCTCTCCTTACCCCAAACCCTAAACGCTACACCCTAAGTAGTAGTTTCCATTCTATTTTCCATTATCCCTACATACCCCCAAAATAACTGTGAAGGGCTCCGCGAAGAAAGGGACCCCAAGTTGGTTGAGAAAGCTCAGATTTCGAGACTAAGGAGCACCCTGACATCCTTCTAAGCACCAGCCCTTCGGGCTCTGCTTTCCTAAAATCTGAAGGCAGGGGCTGTCGTGGTTGCAAGTTGCAAGGTGCAGATCACTTCATGGTGGTTCCTCAAGACTTTTGGGAATCTTTTCGTGCGGGCTCTCAGAATACATGGAGGGGCGACCATCTTGAGGAACTCCAAGAGGTTCTCTAAAACCTTTCAAAACCTTTCTGTGCTCCGACTTCCAGATTCCTCGCGCAGCCTTCGGTCTTTCTGGCAAACTTGCCAACTTGGTGCTGATACTTGCTGCAGATATATACCCCCTTTTAGCAAGTTCTGGGCTATAGATGACACACATCTCAGACCTGCTGCACCGAGAGCACAGGAATTCCATGTACGTCTTGCTGATGCTTCAGGGCCTGATGCATAGTGTACTGGAACTCCTGACGGAGGCATTGACTTGAGAAGCCTGCTTGCTGATGAGCAACACTACAAAATGGGACCGGTCTACACTCGCCCAACTGTAGACTTCTTACAAGCTGTTAAATCCCGCCGCTAAACTCCTGAAAAGAAAACTTGAATTTGTTCCCTGAAATCTGCATGGTCTATCCAACCCTCCTCCTGGATCTGTATCACATCCTCCATCACGTCTGTCAACTCCGTCACCTGCCTTGCAGCCGCGTGAAGCACAGCTTGGCACTATAGGGAGGAGTTGTATGTGGAAATGGGGAGCATACAAGGGGTTTACAACAGTTCCGTTGGTAAAGTTTTAGAAATGGCCTGCGTTGGCGCACATGGTGTGCTTTTAACCTCTGACATGATCAGGCCGCTGTCTCTGCTTGCATGCCTTGTGTCTCTACTTGGGCGATCCCTAGAACGGTGGTTGTGTGTTTGCCCTAAAATTGCCGAATCCCAACTATACATTTGAGGAGCCCAACCTTGACCCCTGCTTCCCCCCACCTTCGGATTTTGTTAGCCTGCCGCTTGATGGCGCAGACATCCACAGACCGAGGAGGCCCGCGCATGCGAATGCAGCTGTCCTCAATCATCACACGGGGAGTTTTGCAAAATTAGGGTCCCATTTTGGTACCCCTAAATATTAGGCGCCGTAATATAAGCTAGACCCAGAAGGGGCCCATAATTTTCAAAACGCCCCACATGCCGAGGCTGGAGGCACCAAGTGCCTTAAATGCGATAGACTCATCATGCTAGGCAATTTTTTGGACTACGAACCACAATCTCGGTATCTGCTACCTAGCATCCAAGAACTCATCGGCATCAATCATGTGGTCGCCATCCGCGTCCAAGGTCTGCAGCAATGTAAACACAAGAAAATCAAGGGTTCGACAGAAGCTGCACCTCTTTGGTCTTAGGATGGGCCCCTGCAGACCCCATGTTCTTCGCAGAAAAATGTAACCATCGCATTAGTTAAGGGGGTGGCAATGATTGCCGAGCCAAGGAAATCCCGGAAGACTACATTGCTTTCTAACAAGTTCGGAGCCCAAAAATGTATGAACAAGTTCCATCGGCAATGACAACATTGTCCGTCGGAAGATATCCCGATTTTAATGTCGTACTACTTGTGCTGCAAGCTGCACTACCTCGTCCTACCCCACCCCCTTGGCTAATTATTGGCAATCACCCATTGAATAAACCAAAAATTCAAAACAAGTTTTAGGGGGGAGGGGCGGGGGGGGTTAATATTGGCATGGTAGCATTAGCTCTGGTAAGTTTCCGAGGTCCCCTCCTGGAAGAGGCTCCAAGCGTCTGTGGAGCCCAGGCCAAGAGCTTCGAAGAGCTCTGCCATGGCCTCATCCTTGAAGTGGCGCTCGAACTCGTTCAGAGTAATCCGCCCCGTCCCGTCGTCATCCACCTGGAGTCGTAAGTCTTGAGACACATGTGACATGTGGATACATGTGGAGCAGGCGAGAGATTAGCGGCTTCAAGCCTCCTTGAAGAGGTGCTCGAACTTCTGCCCTCAGCGGCTGCATCGCGCAGGCTTGCAGAAACAGTTGCAAGGTGACAGGGCTTGAAACGTGATGACGTGTCTCGTCGCAAGCCAGATGACGGATGAGAAGTGCTAGCTCTTGAAGCACTTTTAAGCCAGCAAGTGTGTTGAGTGCAAAGCTGACGAAAAATGCTTTTCTTGCAATTCTTTTTGTGGCCTACTTTTCCAGAAATATCCGACATTTCCAGGAAATGGCAAGTGGCGGAATTTGTCCTTCTCTTGCAAGAGGGACTGGACCATGAGGTGTTCGTCCTGCTGGGCACCGCTGATGGCGCTGTGGCAAAACCTGCGGAAGTACTCCCACTGCTTTGCCGCTGCCGGGCTATGAAAGATGTAGAATGTAAGCCCTCTTCTGCTGCCTCTCTTTGGTAGAACTGCCTTGCATTTGGATATTTTGCAACCTTCAGCAAGAAAATCGGTTCCAGCCATGAGGGGCGCTAGTTAACTGGTTGTGCCCCACTTTGCGAGGCTTCCTCCCCGGCTGAGAAGGACAGGCTTCGCTTAGTGATCATGTGATGCATGCATTATCATTGATGTTGCCACGTTCAAGGTGAAGGTTGTATAGACCGTTACGATATTTATGCCAGCACAAAACGCACATCGAAATGCCTTAGACGATGATTCCCAGTGAACCCTTTGCCGATCCACTCTTAATCGTCATATCCACACAAACCTTAAATGTTGCAACAAACCCCAAGTGCTTGAGCTGCAAGTCGGACGTCGATTTGTCGAAGGCTTCATACAAAGACGAAATAGAATCAAGGGCATATGTGGCCAACATTTGTTGCTTCCAATTCGGGGGCACAATATCTCAACGACCATCTTTATGTCATATGCGAACCCACCGGTCTGGCTTGCAGCATAGGGGCACTCCCGTCATCACCTGAAAGATACAGAACAATGCTGCTGGCTGCGGGTGTGCGTGGCCTCTACTCCAAACCTTTGGAATATCATATCATACTTGACTGCAAGAATAGTACCAACCACAAAAAGCAACAAAACCTTGCAAGAATATACTGTGCCGATGGACAACCATGCAAACAACCTGGCATTTTCAAACTCATTTCGCGCGCAACCACACATCTGAGGCCGCTGCATTTAAAACAGCAAAACATGAGAATGCCACGTACATCGTAAACAGTGCCTCCCATTCCTTGGCCAAATCAAGGTGTATGAAGCATACTGCGTCTGCACATGGCATGATATATGTGCTGTCCACGCAAATGAGAACAATACAAGGGAGCATGGCCAACAACTCCGACGTGCTGGGTGCAGCCAAAGCTCCGTTCCGACCTCGCCTAGTGCTTCTGCTGGACCTTCCCAATTCATCCCACCAGATATTGACCTGTGCCAATGCGTCTTCAACCCTCACAAGCTGCAATGGTTTTTCAAAAGCCAACCAAGCCTTAGCAAGGTCGTCATTGAGCTTGTCAAGCTGCCAAACATGCGGTCGAGCTCAGCATTCCTTCGCAAGCGGTCGCGCAATTTGGGTTTGCCGTTGTAGTGTCATGAATGTTTCACTAAGCGGCGGAAAATCAAAAATGGTAGTCCGGTGCAAAGGCGAGTGCTCTCGGTTTGCAAGGCAAATTGGATCTGACCACAAAAAAGGTCGGTGTCTGTGTCGGGGCCATACTGATACTATACCTATCTACATGTCTTGCGCACTTTATGCTGAAGATTCCAACGCAAGGCATTTGTGCACATGCACAAGCTTCAACATACATGAAGCTCCTACTTGAAAACATGTGCAATCATCGAGGAGCTTATGTACATTAGGACGACACTTCGCTTTCGCAAAATCAATACACGTCATACCAAAACCTTATGGAACATGCTACGTCGAACCGACGCTCAAAATTGCAGTGTGAGGAAAGCGTTAATGCAGGACCCTTCCATTGCGGTCCGACGCACCGCCTCGTCGCGGATCCATCGGCGGACAAAACTGCTGCAGCGGGGCGCGCATACAGCTCCCCACCCGGCGCCCCCACTCCCCGAAAAACGACGTCACTCAGAAGGCGATCTGATACAGCGCCTCCGGCGCGTTGACGGTGGCAAACTCTATGCGGCCGCCGCCGGGTAGGGGACCTCGAGGATGTCGATCTGCGGCGTGTGCATCCGGGTCCAGCCAAGCCTCGACGCGTTGGAGTCATCGCTGCGAGAGAGGTCGTGTCAATCCACGGCAGACGGCCAAAGTGTGGGCTCCAGCCGCTGGGGCCGCAGCCAGCCCCGACAGTGCTGCCACCATGCCGTTGATTTGGCTTTGTCGCCGTAGCCCTTGTTGAGGCCTGGCAATCTGCGGGAAGGTAGAGACGGCGAGCACCTGGGCGAGGATTTCGAGGGCAAGTCCCTTGCAGCACATGGCCGCCACCCGATGCTCTCGAGGTCACCTGTAGTCGTCTGGGCATTCTGCCCACAATGCCTCCAGCTGGGCCCAGGCAGCTTCATTATTACAGGGAAATTTCTTCGCGAAATCCGTGTTGTATCGAAACCTGCGCTTTGGCAAGTGTTGATCTTGCGACCTTCAAGTCAACGGTAGCTGTGGTGGTGAGACTGGAGACATGTTTTCTTTGCGGACATATGGAAAACATGATCTTCAGCCTCAGCGGGTTGCAATCTGTAGACACTGGCACCGATGCATGTATCGGCCAGCTTAGATCACTGCACTCGACGCAAGTTTGATGACGAGTGGCAAGCATCTTCCTCCAAGGAGCCGTGTGGGCGATGGAGCTGGCTGCACACGCTGGGCGGGGACCATCCACGCGGAGCGCGTACTCATCGGAGGAAAACGCCTTTGAGGATCCTGCTTGAGATAATGACAGGAGAACAGAATGTGCAGGGAGAACAGAACGGACAAGCGACCGAAGCTGCAGCCCTTTGTTTTTTTGCAGCCCCTCTTTCTGTTTGTAGAAAATCGCGTCAATGCTCCCTTGTTCCTTCCTCTACTGTTCTGCGTCTTCATACGTGCAAGCCCATTCCTTACGTCTTTCTCATTACAAAGCACGATCTAGTGGTATGGATAGCTTTGTCCCCATTCTTCCGCACCCAGGTACAGTTCTCGGGGTCGATGATGCAATGTTGCAAACTTCGCGTGACGGACGCATCCGCACATCGAGTAGATTGCAAACTACATATGCTAGCTCTGTCCAGAGTCAACAGAAGCCAAAGTTGTTGAACCAAAAACTTCTATTAACATAACACACCACGAGTTTACAAGTGTGCTGTCCGCCGATCCATGCTCATCTTAAAACTAGGCTTCTAAACCTTGCCAAATGACGTGCGTTCTTGTCACTAAGAAAAAGCCAAAAGCAAGGTGTTCGCAAAATGCGTGACGCGCTCACCGGAAAATCTTGACCGCGCGTGTGCTTCCGAAGCATTGTGTGCACGACCGTGGTTTTGAGCAGCCAGCTGGTTGCAGTGTGTCAAGGAGTAACAACCAGCCCCAAAAAAAGGAAACTCTCCCCCCTTCCAAGACATTGCCATACCTGACACGTGCCGATCTTGATGCAAAAGAGACCTGACGTTTGGTCCCTAAGATTCCCTGAGCGATCAACCCTTTTCCAAGTTCATGCGACAGTTAGAGACTGCTGCTAGCATAGCTACGCTGCGCAAGCATCTTCATACTTTCAGGCTTTCAGGCAGTGGTCCTACCCTGATCACAAATGATGCTTACCCACAGCTTGACACGTTTTTCAAGGTCTCAGCAACTATGCACACTTCTCTGATCTGCATGTTATGGCAAATGCACCAAGGGGCAGCCTCCTTGACATCCCCAAACCCTAAACCCCTAGACCCTCAACCCTAAACCCTAGAAAGTAGGTTCCATTTCATTTTCCATTATCCCAATTTAACCCCTGTATAACCCCAATATTACCCCTATATAACCCCCATTTTAACCCCTATACAACCCTCAGTATGTTCCATGTCCTTTTCCAGAACCCCTAAGTTTGCCAAAACTGAGTCCCAGCATCTGACCGTTCATGAACTGATAGGTAACGGAGGCATCCGTAAACAACACCTGCGGTCTGTGTTCTGCCGTTTGCTGCCAGAGTTTGGATATAGGGGTTAGAAACAAGTTTTACAGCGGGTATATTGGGGTTCATATAGCGGTTATATTGGGATAATTGAAAATAGATGGAAACTACTATTTGTTTAGGATCCAGGGCCTGCACAGAAAAACATCTTTAGGGTGCACCATGTATGGATTGCGGTCCAGACGCGCCGAAGGCATAGATGATGACGAACCTCAAACAGACAAGGATTGTGAGTCCACAACACAGCATGATGTGCAGCTGGTTTCTGCAACAAGCCAGGGTAACCTGGTACCCTATTATATAGTGGGGCTATGTAGGGATAATGAAAAAGAAAATGGAAGCTAACATATTATAATGGGGTATATATTGGGGTTATATAGGGGAAATTGGCCCTAGGTAGGAAGGCCTTCCCTTCCTTGCGCAAGGGTAACTCCGCAGGCTCAGGCGCCACTGCAGGTGAGGCAATTGTGAAATTGACATGCTGCGGACTACATGTACCCTTCAGGGTCCCTAAAGTCCCACTAAAAGGGCTAAGGGCCCATATTAGGGGCCCATACTTCTACCTTTAGATACAACAGTCTGCCAAGGAACAGCAAGACCAAAGACCAGAGAAGCGATTTCAGCGTCTGCATGATGGAGAAGATGAGAATGCCTGAAAGCGCATGCATCGCAGAACCCTAAGCTCTCACGAGCTGAAAATTTGCGCAGAGCAGCTGAAGACTTCTATGCCAGAATGTGGGCATGGAGTGGACATACGTTTGAGGACCCTTCTATCCCATTATTGTGGTATTTTGTGGTTCCATATATATTTAATTATGTACATACGGATGTGTATACACATGTGTCTCAAGTCTTCGCATTTAGACGAGCTGCGCAAAGCTCGGATGAACCTCAAGACCTTGCCAACGCGCACAACCCGAATGAGTCGCGCGATCTTCCTTGGCAATGTCTTACTGGTTCTAAGTAGGGAAAAGGGAATAAAATCCCCATGTTATTGTATATGTTACCTAACTCCGTACTAAGAACCAGTAAGATGTCTGAGTCGGGGACTTAGGTTTTTTGGTTGAGGGCAAAGGCTGCACTGTCAAAAAAAACTCAGCTTGCCCACACTCTCAAGCAGTCTGACCAGGAGAATGCAGGCCCTGCTTCTGCTAACCCACCGACATTCCTATGGCAGCATGTAGGACACGTCCAGTATCTCTTACAAGCCGAAGCTGAAAGGGGGACCCATTTCTGCTAAGCGCCCGCAAGTGTTTCCAAACAGAGATTGCAGTCGAAACATTTGGGAAGAGTGCTCCACCTATTCGTCCCATACCCACACCATACCCTACACCCCGCCCTCAACCCCTGATGGTCAGCTCAAGGTGGTGCCGATCAGCTAATGAGGTCAGGCGAGGCTCAATATCCTCACCAAGCGGAGTGCAACGGTCGACGACTGAGCAAGTCAACAGAGAACTTTTAAAAAAAAAAAAGCGTGTCCAGGAATACAGCACAAGACATCATGGAACAGGTGACCCACGAAAGCATGCCCCTTCGTAATGACGCTAGCTTTCAGCAACCATACAAGCATTGGAATGCGTAACTGAGAGTAATGCGGTGAAGGCATGTTTACACATCGCCATGCCGCACAAGATTATTCTGGCCAGGCGACCGGGTTGGATCTGAAGCCATCTGCTGCGGTTAAAGCGAGCTCAAAGACAGATGTGACGACCACAAAAACGTCCAACCTCAGAGACCGCTAGATCCCTCATTTCGTAACTTCAAGAAGAACCTGGGTCAACTGCCTCATATCGTGAAGAAATGCAGTATTGCAAGGTTGATTGAAGGATTCGAAGAAACCCAGTTCTCGCAGGAGCACACCCGATCATTTCGCCCTGCACGCAGCAGGAAAGAGCTTCCAAGGCCAATGGGTCCCCCTACAACGACTGCCCCGCAAGACATTAATGATTCTCAGAAAGTGGCATGTTCCACGGCCAATGTGGTGCACAAGCAAAGCCATGGAAGCCATCAGCCCAAAGCCGCAGCACGACCTCCACTGTGAAAATGACTGTGTAAATCACCTGACAGGGGTGAAACCATGAGGTCTATACATACAGCTTGATGTGTCGGCACGGTGCGGGATTTGTCGGGTTTAGGCCCAGGGGCACCCAGGGGTATTTCTGAAGGTGTATTTCTCCACAAGCCCGCCACAACCCGAACAATACCTTCTCAGGCAAGGACTGAGAGCACAGGTACACGCAAGGAAGGCTCCAATTTAGCATAAAGCCGTAAGCGAAAGGGTTCAGGGCTTCAGTTTACTAAACAGAATGCAGAGGCTGCTTTGAGAAAATTGGCAGCAAGTGCGATCGACTTTGTGTCTCTGCTAATTGACCAAAGGACGAGACATGCAGGAGAAGATAGCACAATGTGCGCAGGACCACTAATTAATTCCAGAAACCCTGCCAATGCCTAGATGATTACCAATCCTAAATGATAACCAATATCGTTTTGAAGTCTATTTGAGGTACTCTATACCGTAATCGTCCGTTATCATACAAGGAAACTGGAACCAAAATATTGGCACTTATTTAGGAGACGGAGCCCGAAACTTGCCTGCAGGACCACAAATATCACGGGCAGGCCACTTGCGAAGTGTTCGGCCATCCACGCTGTCTGCACTCCCAGCAGGATTGTGTTAGTTACCTGGGCTTGGGGTTTAGGGTGTGGGGCTTAGGGGTATAGGGTTTTGCGCTCGTGGGCTTCTGACAACAAATGTATCACAAGGATTTGTTGGTAAAACTCTGACCCAACATTGGACAGTCACAACTATAGCTAGTCTTATATTCGGTTTAGGGCTCACTGTTCAGGGCTTGTCTCTGGCAACAAGATTGCTTAGACATCCGCTGAACGCAAAATGACGATCGGCTTTGGAATTGGCCGCATGACGCGAGGTCCAGGTCTTGCTTCCACAGATTCAGAGCAGGGAGCTCCCGTAGAATCAGCCCCCTAATGCTCCCCAAAACAACCCTAGAATAAACCTGAATCGACCCACCACTACCTTTATCTAGGTGACTGCTACTGTATCGGCCCCATTCCTAAAAGCAATTTCCCTTAACAGGGAAGCCCCAATATAGACTCCCAACTACTTAATCCTTAATATGGGGATCCCCAACAAAGTACCCGAAAGCGGACCAGGCTCAATCGCAACGGCGAAGAAGGCCTCGAAGGACCAGGAGCGCACGAGACGCTGTGGGCAGTTTTGCGGAAGCGCGTCCTCCTGCCTAGGGTACATGGGAGCTTCTCGAAACTTCTATATGATCCTTTCCTAGACCACGGCAACTATGCGCCAGAAGCAGCTAGAAAGCTTGACAGTAGAGGGGTGGAATCTTCAGTGTGTGTCGCTTGTTTGATATCCCTTCGGGCATTTGCTGAGGGTGTCGGAGAAGGGGTACAGTCCGCATCGGGTTCACTGCCTGATCCGCCACTGTAGGCCTTGATACACAAATCCTGTCCGTGCAGGCAACACAACTCTTGACCCAAGCCCTTCAACACTCTTCACATCAGATCGCTCCCCTTTGCCCTATCACACTCTGAGGGATCTCTTACCAGTCTGCTTCCTCGGCACCCCTTCTAACCCTGAACCCTAAACCCTAAATTGTAGCTTCCATTTTCTTTTCGATTATCCCCATTATGTACCCCAATATACTATACTAGTTTGGGGGACCCTTAAAGCCTAAACCCTAAAAGGGGGGACTTTTTACTTACAGAGTCCAGGCTGCTGTGGTGGATGGGGGCGTGTGCCTTGCTCTTGCGGCTCATTGCCCCGTGGCCTTGGCGTAAATAGAAAGTTTTGATGTGAGCTATAGTCTAAAC